TTGAGGGAAAAGGGGCATTTCAGTGAAGGAATTCTAGGTTAGTATTCTTAAAGAATATCAGATAAAGTAGACTTTACGCCAAAGTTAATCAGAAGGGAGAAAGGTCATTTCATACTGCTTAGGGGAGTCATACAATAATAAAAAATTATAACTATTTATGTTCCAAACAATACAGCATCTATATACATCAAACACCCTTTTCATCATCAAGAATCAAATAGACTACAACATAATAATACTGGGTGGCTTTAACACACTTCTCTCATCACTGCATAGATCTTCCAAACAAAAGCTAAACAAAGAAGCTACAGAATTAAAAAAAAAATTTAGACTTAACAGACATATATAGAACATTTCACTTATCAATGACTGAATGATTTTCTTTTCAGCAGCACATGGATTATTTTCTAAAATATATCATATTTTAGGTCACAAAGCAGCTCTTAGCAAATAAAAAAAATAATACCTTGCATTCTATCAGACCTTAATAGAATGAAATTAGAACTCACTGATAAAATACAAACCAGAAACTACTATAAAACCTGGAGATTAAATAATACACTATTGAATGATGAATGGATAGCAGAAGAAATCAGTCATGACATAAAAAAAATACTTGGAGGTAAATGAAAAAAGTGATACAACATATAAAAATTTCCAGGACACTATGGAGGCATTGAACTCATTCGTTAAAGAATAGAAAAACACCAAATAAATAATCTAACATTACATCTCAAGGCCCTAGAAAAAGGATGAATTTACACCAAAATAAGTAGAACACAGGAAATTATTAAAAATCAGAGCCAAATTCAATAAAATCGAGATAAAAAATTTTAAAAATCAATGAAACAAAAAATTGGTTCTTTGAAATAATAAGCAAAATCGATAAACCCTTGGCCAACCTAACCAAAAGAAGGAGGGGAAGAAACTCAAGTTATTAAAATCCATGATAAAAAAGGAAACATTGCCACACACACTTCTAAAATATAGAAAGTATCTTGAAAATTTATACTCCAATAAGCTAGAAAATTTAAAAGACACTGACAAATTCCTAAAGACATATGACTTACCCAAATCAAACCAGAGGATATAGAAAATTTAAATAGATCAATTGCAAGTAATGAAATTGAAGATGCCATAAAAGCCTGCCAACAAATAAAAGCCCAGGACTGGATGGATGCTCACCCAAGTTCTACCAGGGCTTCAAAGACAAACTAACACCAATCCTCCTCAGATTATTCCATGAAACAAAGAAGAAGGGAACTTTCAAAAACTCATTCTATGAAGCTAGTATCACCCTAATACCAAAACCAAACAGAAACACATCAAGGAGTTTCAGACCAATATCTTTGATGAATATTGATGCAAAAATTCTTAATAAAATACTGGTAAATCACATATAAAAACACATTAAAAAGACAGTGCACTATGATCAAGTGGGTGTCATCCCAGGGATGCAAGGTTGGTTCAACATATGGAAATTAATAAACATATTCTCCACATAAATAAGACTTAAAGGCAAGAATCCAATGATTATCTCAATAGATGCAGAGAAAGCATTGGTCAAAATACAGCCTCCATTCTTGTTTAAAACACTAGAAAAACTATAGATAAAAGGCACACACCTCAGCACTGAGGCATAAGACAAACCCAAGGCCAACATCATTCTAAATGGAGAAAAACTGAAAGCATACCGTCTAAAATCAGACACAAGACTTGATGCCCACTTCACCACTTCTATTCAACATAGTCCTTGAAACTCTAGCCAGAGAAATTAAGCCAAAGAAAAAAATTAAAGGTATATGAATAGGAAAAGAAGAGCTCCAAGTATATCTGTCAACAACACAAACCATATTTAAAAGATTCAAAAAAACTCACCTAAAAATTTCTAGAACTCATAAATGAATTCAGCAAAGTAGCAGGATATAAAATTAACACCCATAAATCAACTGCAATGATGATGAATATACCAATGATGAATCAGCTGAAAGAGAAATTAGGAAAACTATCCCATTCACAATAGCCTCAAAAAAACATAACACTTGGGAATCAATCTAACAAAAGAGGTGAAAGACCTCTACAATGAAAACTACATAATACTAAAGAAAGAAATTAAAGAACTTAGATAATGGAAAGATCTCCTATGTTCATGGATAGGCAGAATTAATATTGTCAAAGGGCCATACTACCAAAAGTGCTATAGAGATTTAATGCAATTTCTATTATAATTCCAGTGATGTTCTTCATCGAAATAGAAAAAGCAGTCGTGAAATTTATTTGGAAAAATAAGAGACCCAGAATAGCCAAAGCAATCCTTTGCAAGAAGAGTGAAGTAGGAAGCATCACAATACCAGACCTTAAAGTATACTACAGAGCTATAGTAACAAAAAATGGCATGGTATTGGCACCAAAACAGACATGAAGATCAAAGGGACAGAATAGAAGACACAGAGACAAACCCACATAAATACAGTTATCTCATACTAGACAAAGGCACCATAAACCTACATTGGGGAAAAGATAGCCTCTTCAACAAATGGTGCTGGAAAAACTGGGAATCCATATATAGCAGAATGAAATTGAGCCCCTATCTCTTACTCTGCACAAAACTCAACTCAAAGTGGATCAAAGACCTAGGAATTAGACCAGAGACCTAGGAATTAGACCAGACACTCCAACAGTCACCTTAGGAACTGACTTCTTCAACAAGACTCCTAAAGTGCAAGAAGTAAAATCGAAAATCAATAAATGGGCTGGGATCAAACTATAAAGCTTCTTTTCAGCAAAAGAAATAATCAAGAACATGGAAAAAGAGCCTACAGAATGGGAGAAAATCTTTGCCACCTGCACCTCAATAGGGTGTAAATATGCAAAGAACTCAGAAAGGTTAGCAATAAAAAACCAAATAACCCATTTAATAAATGGCAAAGGAACTGAACAGATACTTCTCAAAAGAAGAAATATGATCAGACAACAAATATATGAAAAAAATCTTCAACATCTCTAACAATTAGAAAAATTCAAATTAAAACCACATTGAGATTTCATCTCACTCTGGTCAAGAGTGGCAATTATCAAGAATACAAGTAATAATAAATGTTGGTGAGGATGTGGGGAAAAGGGTATACTCATACATTATTGGTTAGACTGCAGATTGGTGCAACCACTCTGGAAAACAGTATGGGGATTCCTCAGAAAACTTGGAATGGAACCATCATTTGACCCAGTTATCCCATTCCTTGGTATATGTCCAAAGGACTTAAAATCAGCATACTACAGTGACACAGCCATATCAACGTTTATAGCAGCACAATTCACAATAGCTAAGTTATGGAGCCAACTTAGGTGTCCTTCAACAGATGAATGGACAAAGAAAATGTAGTGTATATACATAATGGAATATGACTCAGCCATAAAGAAGAATGACTTTATGACATTTGCCAGTAAATGGACAGAACTGGAGAGTATCATGCTAAGTGAAATAAGCCAATCTCCCCAAATCAACAGTTAACTGTTTTCTCTGATATGCAGAAGCTAACCCACAATACAAGAGGGACAGGAAGAACAGAAGTTCAGTGGATTAGACAAAGGCTAATGAAGGAAAGGAAAGGGGGATAAGAATAGGAGAGACAGTGGATGAATCTGACATAAGTTTCCTATATACATACATGAATACAACACAGTGAATCTCACCATTGTGTACATCCACAAGACTGGGGTCCCAATTAGAATAAGATATATTTCATGCTTGTATAATTATATCAAAATGGACTCAGCTGTCATGTATAACTTAAAAAGAACCAACAACAAAAAAGAATATTCTATAAAGGATATCCCGAGCTACTTCAAGGAGTGATATTGCAAATTTGCCACAAAGCAGTTTTGCAGGGGCTTATCCTACTACATATAGTGTTGTAGAATTAGGAAACACTTTCCTGGAGGACAGAAAGTTTGCTGAATGCCTTTCAAGTTTTAGCCATACCTCCTGGGAAGCTGTACAGCAGTTTAAGGAAAACAACTGCATTCTTTCCCCCCGCCCCCTGCACCCCCTCAGTATGGGAACTGAAATCAGGGCCTGGCACATGCTAGACAAATCCTCTAGCATGAGCTACATCCCAATTCTTCTTTATTTTTTATCTTGAAACAGGGTCTTGCTAAGTTCCCCAGCCTGGCAACTTGTGATCTTCCTGCCTCCGTCTACTGAGTGGCTGGTATTACAGGTACGGTCTTTTTACTTACCATTTTCTCTGTTGAGGGAAAGTTAGGTGAAATGGCAGTTTAATCTTTAGAAAAAAATCTTGTATGGCTCTATTTGTTATTTGGAAATAGAGAATGACACTGCTCTAAGCCTGGTCCATTATTATCACTACACAGATGCTAAATAAGCAGCACAGAAAACAAGAGAGCCCACCACTGTGGTGCATGATCAGAGAGAGAACGCGGCCCCAGCATGCCACCGACATGCCATATGGCCACAAATCTAAAGGCTCTGAAAGATGCCATGCTTGCACAAGCCCTGAATACCTGCTTTCATTCCCAGTTGGAGTGCTTGAACTACAATATATGGGCCATCTATTTATTAAAGGAGAAAGCTTACTTTGGCATAGGATAAATTGGTGCTTGCAGCAAGATGCAGTTTAATACAAAGGATGTTTCTTGAACTTCTTTCAGATCTGAGATCCACAGCTTTAGTGTTTGGGGTGTGGATTTTAAAACTGCATGACTCTTCCCCAGCCCTTTTTTTGCAGCTGGCATGAGAAGGAGATTCCCATTCTCTCCATGCCCTGTTCTTTACTTGCTCAAAGCTGAGGTGGCAAAGACACTGGCAGCCTCATGCAGCTTTTCATGGAAAGCCTCCACTCTAACTGGCGCCTGAATGCAATCTCAGACTGTCCCAGGAGACCGTCATGCTCTGAGGTGAATTTGTAATGTCAAGGCCAACAAAGAAGTTAACACAAACTTTCACTGTTCGAGAAAAAGAAAAAAGTCTGCAGGCTTACTGAAGGAGCTCTGCTTCTGTGAGTGCCTCTGTCCTCTGCTCCCCAGTGACAAGGGCCAGTTCATCCCTCAGTTCCTGGATTTCCTTTTGAAGGCATATAATCATCTATGAAAGGCAACGTGGGAGGGTAAATGTCAGTTTCTCATTAATGTGACCTGATGGCAGAGAGCATATATCTTTTAGAATTATGAACTATTTATGGATATAAAAATGGTTAGAGAATGATCTAAAAGGCACTTCTGTACCTACCAGCCATCTTTGTATTTATTTATTTTTTTTATTTATTTATCTTTTTATTTATTCATTTTATCGGTTCTTTTTTAGTTATACATGATAATTGAACCCATTTTGATGTAATTATACAAGCATGGAATATATATTATTCTATTTAGGACCTCAGAACCTCTCCTTCCTCCAAAATTTCATAATTTGTAAATCTTAATATTGTATCAAATAGCTATAGAATAATAATAACAACTATGATTATTATCATTATTATTTGGTATTGGGGATTGAAGCCAGGGACACCTTAACACTGAGCTACCTATATTCCCAGTCCTTTTTATTTTTTATTTTCAGACAGGGGGTCTCACTAAGTTGCTGAGGCTGGCCTCGAGTTTGTGATCCTCCTGCCTCTGTCTCCTGAGTAGCTGGGATTACAGGTGTATACCAACACACCTGACTTAGAATTAATTTTTAGCAAACAAAACATACTGATGTAACTGGAACCTGCTATTTTCTATTCCCCTTCCGTCCTCTCTGGGATGATCACTCGAATGCCTTTACCATACTTAGTTAAGTTGCACTTGACAGTTATGGTATGAATTTACATTATCTTCAGCTATGTGTATGTATGTTCCTGTTTCCCCACATTTTTGTTACTATGTAATATGGACAGGTGCTTTAATTTTATCAATCTGGTAGGTGTTAAATGATATCTCATTTTAGTTCTAATCTGCATTTTCATAATATTAGTGAATCTGATCATCTTTGCATATGTATATTGATTGTTTGGGTTTCTCCTTCTGAGAATATGTATTCACATTCTTGCCAAGATATCAATTGATTTGTTTTTCTTTTCCTTATTAATCTGCAGCCTTCTTCATATATTCTGGATCTGAATCCTTTGCTAGTTTTACATGATTCACCTATTTTCTCCCAATCTATATCATGTTCTCCTCTTCATGGTGTTATTTTTGATAGATGGAAGTTTTGAATCTCAATATAATCAAATTAGCAATTTTTTAAGCTGTACTTTTGTATTTTCTTAAAGAAAATCTGTCTTACCCCAAACCAAAGTTTATTTTGTGATATTTAAAAAGCATTAAAGCTTTACTTTTCACACTTAGGTAGCTTTTATTTTGTATAAGATATAACATAGGAATCAAATTTCAATTTTTTATATGACTAACCATATAAAATTGCTAATATAATTATGCTGTATAACATATTTCTACATGTAAATGTGTCTGCTTCTGGGCTAGAGTTGAAAACATTTGCCTATATACATGATAATGCTATAATTTAAATTATTATATCTTAAAGAAATTTTGGCATCTAGAAAAGACAACCCCCTTCCATATTTTGCTTAGAGTTGCCTATTCTTGGCCATTTGCTCTTCCATATAAATTTTGGGACTAGCTCATCAAATTATATAAAAGCCTTCCTCAAATTTTATTTGGAATTACATTGAATCATCCCATCCAATGAACATGGTAAGCCTCTCTCCTTCAATAAAAATTTATAATTTTTCTATAAATATCTTATTTATAGAAAAAAGTTTTTGTTGATATTGTAATTGGAATTTTGGAAAATTATATTTTCTAATTGTTAGCCTCTGGAATACAAAAATGCAATTCAGTTTTGGATTATATACTAAATAATTTTCCAAGCATATTTTGGTTCTGTTTATTATTAAATATTCTTGAATGTTCTACATAAACAATAAAATTATCTGCAAGTAAGGACAGATGTTTTCTTCTTTTCTAATTCTCATGCATTTTATTATTTTTTATTGTCTCACTGTCCTAGCTAGGATCTTCATGTGTAATTCTTAAAACAGTCTTTTGTCATTTCTTCTAACATTTCACTTTTAAAGTGATGTTTATGTAATTTTTTGATTAATATGCTTTATTAGTTTAAATGTTCACTTACAGTTTAATGAGTCTTTCAGTGTGTGGATGAATGCTTAATGTTATCAAATACTTTATTTGAAATCATCCAATTTTTTTTCGTTTAAACTGTGCATGTGATCAATCACCTACATTCATGTAATTTGTCTTTTAATTTGAACTATTTCAGAATACAGAAAAGGCATTAAATAATATATGATACCCACTACATAGCTGAAGTTAACACCCATGTCCCCACTATTTAAGAAATAAAACATTATAGATCTCTTAAAAGCTCTCACCCCTGTATTGCCTTCCATAAACAAATTCTCATTATAATTTTGTTTTTTATTTTTCCCATTTTTTTTCTATGCATTGATATATTTTCTAGTGATAACTTATTCCTAAATACTTTTTTGGGGCGGGTACTGGGGATTGAACCCAGGGGCACTCAACCACTGAGCCACATCCCCAGCCCTATTTTGTATTTTATCTAGAGACAGGGGCTCACTGAGTTGCTTAGGGTCTTCTTGTTACTGAGGATGGCTTTGAATTCGAGATCCTGCTGCCTCAGCCTCTGAGCTGCTGGGATTACAGAGATGCACCACGGCGCCCAGCTTATCCCTAAATCCTCGAAATAAACCCCCTGTGATCATTATGCAAACTTCCTAAAACAAAAATTAGCAGCTCCAATCCAGCTTTCACACTCCTTTGACTATTTGGTATTACTCACCAGAAAAAAGAAAGAAGAGGGGTGGGGGGAGAAAAGAACAGACAATAAAAAGAGAGAAAAGAACAAAAAAGAAAGAATGGAATGGAAAGAGAGAGAGAGAAAAGAAAGAAAAAAAAATCTAGTTTGTCTTTCAGTACCTTTGCTGATTCCATAACTTTGCTAGCAGGTTGCCAGGCTAAAAGGGTTGTATGAATTTGAACTTCAAAATCATGAGAGGTAGTGCCGAGAGTTTCAGTTTTTTATATAAAGTACTTTTTGTTCTACTTAGAGTCCAGGCTAAGGCAGACAAGTTGCGCTAATGTCTCTCTATGCCATTAGATTCCACCCCCCCTCCCACAGGCTTTTTGTTAGGGAGATAAGAAGATATCTTAGGTTCAAAATTCCAGGACCTACTCCTATCCCTTTGTTACAACTCTTTTTACCCACTCCAGGACAACTGTAGCCTCAGCTTTCTTTCAGGCTCTGGTGAATTCTTTTAATTTCTTTCAACCTCAGATATATATTTCAAAGATGCTTCTAAAAATTTATTTAGGTGAGTTTCAAGTGATCTGGACCACATCAATATGAACAGAAGTCCCAAAGAATGTGGTACTGAGTATTTTGCACATGTCAGTGTTCCTAGGATTTTATTTGAATGCATATAGGAGAGTCTGAATTTTATTTGTTAGCTTCTTTTAAAAAATATTCCCAGAATCATCAAGCTATGAAGAACAAAAATCTTCAGACAAGAACCGTGAGTCATTCATTTGAACTCTCCTCCAAAAAATTAATATATTTGGTGCAATACATTTTGCTTCTATTAAACCTTTCAAAGTGAAATGTAAAAAATTACATTATTTCCCTGTCTTATCAAGTAGATATATCAAACTAAGCCAACTTTTTATGATTTGAGATGACCACAGTTATACCTCCCATCAGATTACTGCAGGAACTCTGAAATTAAAGCCATCCTGAGAAGATACTGGCCCAAGCCCAGTCACCAACTCTGACCTGGCTCACAGTTCTTTTATCACCTTCTCTCTCTGAAGTACCAATACTTTTAAGGAAAGTAGGGCAGATCCTTGATCACTCCCATCTTACAGGGCTGCTTCCACATTTGCCATTATAATTTGAGAGTAAGGCATAAGAAATCCCACCCAGTTGTGTCTTAGGTGGTTTCTAGACAAATTTCCAATTGTCACTTACACTTCAGATAAACTATGTATGTAAAATAGTAAATAGAAATGTCAGTGTTCAGAAGAAATTATTATAGAAATGAGGAAACAACACTTGTTAATTACTAGATTGTTCTGTACTAGGCAGACCCCAGCAACTTGTTCAATTATCAGCTATTAGCTTTTCACTCCTCATCTCTGTTTTCTTTAAATCTCTCACAGATCCATATCAAACACATAATAATGTTCGCCTTTCTTCAAATTCATCATGTCGCTTCAAGGAAGCGTCTCTCTAGACAATTCAAAGGAAAACCCCTTCCAATGTCTAATATGTTGATTTTTATTAATTTTTGTCTTCGGGGCAGTAATGTCATAACTGTCTGTCTTGTTCTTCACAGGAATGTCATAGGGCAGCTGGAAGGTAGGGACAGTAGGAAGTGCAATTTCTCTTGACTCAGGCCCTTGCATTCCATCTCTTCTTCCCTGTGGGGGCTCTTCTTGATGCTGATACCTGACCAGGGCCTGTACTGGAAATAGACTCCTGCCTCATCCATTGGTTTCTCCAGAAGAGAATTCTATCAGGGAAGCCTGGTGCTCCCAGAGGCAAGCAGGGTAAAACAGATATTCCCATCATTCCTTTTTCTTCCTTTCTCTCTATTCTTCAGTGTAATGATTTCAGGGGAGAAGGGGCAAATAATCAAGAGGAAGTAATTAATATGGAAAACAGTAAATTTGAGAAATTTTTAATTGAAGCACTGTTGGCAAGATTTCATATTCCTTGATAATGCATACTAGAAAACCTACATCAGCTTATATTCTGGAGAAATAAGTAAAATTGAGTGATTTTTAAAAAATGTTATATAATCCATTTTTTTTTTTTGGTAGTGCTGGGGATTGAACCCAGGGTTTCACAGATCCTAGACACATGCTATACCACTGAGCTGTATCTTTCACCAGCCCTAACAAATCTTTTATTTGGGGATGGGGGGTTACCAGGGATTGAACTCAGGGGCACTCAACCACTGAGCCACATCCCCATCCCTATTTTGTATTTTATTTAGAGACAGGGTATCACTGAATTTTCTTCTTGTTACTGAGGCTGGCTATGAACTTGTGATTCTGCTGCCTCAGCCTCTGAGCTGCTGGGATTAAAGGTGGGCACCACTGTGCCTAATATATCAATCTTAATTATAGAATTTGACAAAACTTGAGATATTTCATTTCTACATTTTAAGTGTTGGCATGAGCTGATTTGGTACTGCATTTCCTTTATAGAAAGCTAACAAACAGAAAAGAGAAAATATATACATTCATGAAACTTGAAGTTTTTTTCCCTTAAAAAAAGTGTTTTGATAAAGAAGGACTTATTACTATCAAACAAGAAACTTGCTCATTTTTCCAAGAATCAGACTGATAATTTTTGAAAGTCCCTAGAATATAGGACAGTGATTCAAAATATTTTTCCCATTAGCATTTCTCTTTCGTTATAAGCATTTATACAAGATGGCTTGTTCTTGTCTCTAGAAAGCTAAACTGAGTTTTGGAACAGGCTGCCTATGTATTTAGGTCTCAGGGCACAACTCTGTGGTAAAGTGGTGGGAGCTGGAGGTAGGAGCACAGATTCTTGGCTGGACTGTCTAGATTTGAATCCTGGCTCTGCTACTTATTTTTGTTATTGCTGTTGTTTCTTGGTACTGGGGATCAAATTCAGGTGCTTTATCACTGAGTACTGACCCTTTTTAGATTTATTTTGAGACAGGGTCTAAGTTGCTGAGACTCATTAGCACTGTGATTATGAGCAAGTTACCATCCTTGTGCCTCAATTTTATTATCTGCAGAGACAGAGCCAGCATTTACTCATCGGCTTGTTCTGAGAATTTAATCAGTTAATGCCTTACTTAGAACACTGTCTAGTACAGAGTAAATGCTCCAGCCCGAGTTTTAGCTAATCTTTGATATAATCATTTTTTTCAACAGTTACAAGCTGCTTACCGATCTGGGATCGATTTCTTCATTAAGAACAGCTTCATTCTTTATGAGTGCCACTCGTTGTGCAAATCTGCAGGTAGATATAGATTCCTACAAAGCAAAACAACTTTTAAAAGGGTTATAGCAGGGAGAGAAATTTCTTGTTAGACAAAACTTAAATTTTAGTCATAGAAAAAAGATGCATACCTAAAGAGTGATGTATATAAAAACCACAATGAAGAATGATGCCTCTAAATTAGGGAACTTAGCTCTGGAAGGTTATTTTCTTGATTTTGTCTTAATAAAATGACCAATGCCAAAAATATGGGAGATCCTAAGACCCCAAATGGCAACTGACATGTGTTTTTAAGTATTGATCTGTTAAACCAGAACCAGACATGTAAGTCATAATCACAGCAGGTACCACAACCACAAACATGAGAGACTACAAAATAAATATTTGTAACAGACCAAGAAGTGAGGTCGTTCACGGCACCTCACCATCAAAGGCTTGGCGTGCTCTGGGAAGCACCCTGCTGCTCTCTTGGAGAGGATCTGGACCCCAAACATTCAGCAACTGCAATGTGGGAAACGTCAGCTGGCTCCAGAGCAGCCCAGGAGAGCCGTTCACTAGCCGGGCACCGCCAAAGCAGCCAGCACGCTGCACTCTGGGACACGTCTGGGGACAGATCTCAGGTACACCTCCAAGGCACCCGGATTTTACTAGCCAGGAGCAAAACTGTTCAAGAGAAGCAAGAGAAGACTCTCTCATTTCTCTGCCTAAAAATGCCTTTCAAATTTAAGCAGGCCTTCCAAAATTTGTGTCTACAGCTTTCTCAAACCACCTGGTATATGTGAAGTCAGTTTTCAAATGGATTTTTTTACAATGCTAGCAAATAACCTAATGCTGAGAACTCTGTGGTGTGTTCACCCCTGAAGCCTATCTCAACCCAGCAGAAAAGATGGAAACTCACTCAGGACCCTCAACTTGATCCCCAAAACCAGCAAGGAAAACCCAGGCTAAGATCCCCTGAATAAAAAGAAAAAAAGAAAAACAACATACGTCGATATTCCTTTTCTCTAAAGAGAGCGTCGCAATCATAGTGGTCATGCAGTTCCCTCCCAAACTGTCTCTCAGGACACTGGTCATCATGGAATTCCTGTAAGGAATGTGCGAACGGTTTTTTTCTGAAAGGGCAATGATGACCTGTGATAAAGTTGAAAAAAACAATAGCATTACCTTGATAGGAAAGGCTCAAGTGACAAACAGTGGAGCTTCAGCAGCAATAAAAATAGGAAAAGAAAGAATGACTAAATGCAGGGTGACATCTAAAAGTTGGGCACGGAATAAATACCTTAGCAAGAATATTCAGTACAAGAATGGTAAAGATGGAATCAAGTAAATGTAGCATGAACCTAGCATTGTGAACCCTGTAATTTCTGGACAGATGAAGTGACTTGCAGACAAGTGGACACACTCTCATTCTGCTTCCAGATGTTGGAAAATCTGTATAAAAACATAATAGTAAATTGTGCCTGATGACTTTGACCCCACCAATATTGAGCTGTAGGGCTAGAGATGTAGCTTAGTGGAAGAGAGTTTGCTTGGCATGCACAAGGCCCTGTGTGGATTGCCAGTACCCTATCCAAACAAAAAACAAACAAATTGAGCTGTGTGCCCCATTTCCAAGGCAGAGGCAGAACAGTGAACAAGAGCTATGAGAAGCTGCGTAAGAGTTTGAGATCCCAGATTCTGATGCAAGTTGTCCAGGGGAAAGTCCTAACCTTACTAGAGCATGCCACTCGACATTTCTGCCTCATGTTTTCACATGTACAACCAGGATAAATATAGTACCTACCTCATAACAGTAGAATGATTAAAGGCATTACAATGTGTAAGTCACTTTGAGTAGTAACTGCACATAGTAAGTGCTGTGGACATGTTTGTTCTCATCATCGATGAAAGAGGCAGCTTATCTTACTCCTCATGGGTTCCTTAGGTACTTAATAGGAAGGCACTAGATGGATGATGGGATGCTGGGGCTGTCCCCAAAGAGAGGCACCAGGATCATCCTGGGAAGATTATCCAATGCTAGGATGTCCCTTACAAAGCAGCTGGAATTATTGGCCCACAGAATGTCAATTCAGGGGCATCATAAGATCCTGAACCCTAGGAATATCAACACCTGCTGGTCCAGCCCTCCCTCTGCCCAGCTATGTAGTTCCCATCACCACAACCTTTTGATCTACTTTGGTTTACAAAACAAGACGTCAAGATTGTTTTTCGAAAGCTGTTTTAAGAAAAAGCATATACCACTAGTTTCACTTTAAATTCATAAGCCCAGGTGTTACTACAACCCAGCAGTCCTGGATCAGTTTCTCAACTGCAGAAAGGAGGCCTTCATACTTTCTCCTCCCTCTTCAAATCTCTGTCCCTCAGTGGTGAGCCAGCCCCATGTCACGGCATCCCTCCCCTCTCTTCTCTCTAACCTCAGATTGAGCTGAGGGCCACCCTTCTACCAGATATAAGCAAGCTGACTGAGACTGTTGTGCATCTGCCACTGGATTCCTACATTCCTATCACTAAAGAACACTGTTTTTCCCTGTTACTGTTCTCAGTTCAGCCCCCCACCCTCTTCCTCTTCTGTCCTCATCAACTTTGCTCCTACATGCATCTCCTCTTGTGCTCTCTTTCATTTGGATGCTGCCCATTCTGGATGCCCACTATTGCACTAGACTAAGATGACTCTTGCCAAGGTCATCAGCAACCTCAATTGTACCAAAAGCACTGACTGTCTTCTTGTTAGCCTTTTGAGTTGGATGAAGTATTCTACACAGGCACTCATTGTTTCCTTTGGGAAAACACTCCATTCACTTGGTAATTGGGACACCATGTTTCTTGGTTTTAGCTCTCCTCAAAAACTAGTTAATGAGGGGCTGGGGTTGTGGCTCAGCAGTAGAGTGCTCGCCTAGTGCGTGTGAGGTACTGAGTCTGATCCTCAGCACCACATAAAAATAAATAAATAAAATAAAGGTATTGTGTCCAACTACAACTAAAAAAATATTTTAAAAAATAGGGCTGGGTTTGTGGCTCAGTGGTAAAGTGCTCGCCTCTCACATGCGAGGCCCTGGGTTTGATCCTCAGCACCACATAAAAATAAACAAATAAAATAAAGGTATTGTGTCCAACTACAAATAAAAATTATTTTAAAAAAATAGGGCTGGGGTTGTGGCTCAGCGGTAGAGCGCTCACCTCGCACGTGCGAGACCCTGGGTTCAACCCTCAGCACCACATAAAAATAATTAAGTGAAATGAAAGTATTGTGTCCAACTACAACTAAAAAATAAATATTTTTAAAAAGCTAGTTAATGAATGATTCCTTTTTTCCTTCCCAAATTGTAAGTAGTGAGGAGTTCCAGAGCTTTGTTCTTGATCCTCTTTTCTTTCTTATTTATACTCTCTTCCCAGGTAATCCCTTCCTATCTCCTGGCTTTTACAGGAATCTCTATTTTGATGTCTTCCCAATATATACCCCAAGTCTGAACCTCTCTTGACCTATCAGCTCTTTGGTGACTCTTCATCGCCACCTGGGTTTCTCTCCTGTCTGCCCCATGTCTGATTCTTTCTCAGGTCTACACATCATTATTAATGACACCATCATTTTCCTAGTTGCTCAGGCCAAAGCCCTAGCCATCATCTTTTATTTTTCCTCACTTTCAATATCCAATCCATCAGCAATTTCTAGGTTTCTTAGGTTTTCCAATAAGGCTTACCCAGAAATGGACCACTCCAACCTAAACCTCCATGATTCCTTGCTTGGACAACTGCACAAGGCTCTGAGTCATCTCCATGCTTCTACTTTTGCCCTTCCATGGCCTATTCTCTGCACACCAACCAGAGCAGTCTTTATAAAACATAAGTTATACCAAGTCACTTCCCTGCTTACGATCTTCTAGTAGCTTCCCAATACAGTTAGTATAATAACTCAAGTCCTATGGAATCTGGCACCCTTTGACCTATCTGACCTCGTCTCCTGCCATGTTCTCCTTGCCTGCACTGGCCTTCTCACAGGCCAATGCTATTCCCACATCAAAGCTTTTGAACTTGATGTTCCTTTTACCCGGGACCCTCCTGCCTCAAATTTTCGCACAGCTTTCTATTTCTTCTCATTCAAATATTTGTTCAAATTTTATGTCCTTAAAGGTCTTTTCCTGGATACCCTGTCAAATATTACACAGCAATATTAACAGCCTGTTAATCTATTTTATTTTTCTTCTAGTACTTACCACTATTTTAAATTATCTTTATTTACTTGTTCTCCATCTGCTTCCCCACTCAATGTTCTACTCTTCCAAGTCAGAGATGCCATACCTCTTGGTTACTACTCTATTTCCACTGCTTAAAACCACGTTCCAGAACTTAGTACATGTGGCAGAAACTAAGTTGTCTCCATCAGTACTCAAGACACTCCCATTCTACTTTGACTTCATATAAAACTATACATCTTAGTCTGTCTCACAACTCATATTTTGCATAAAACGTAGCCCCACCAAGCAGATTCCCTGTGTGGGATCTGGAGATAAGCAATATGAGGTAGTGACCATAAGGAGGAGAATCAGATTTGTGAAAGAGAAAGGTGGTAGCCATCTGGTTCTTCTGATGCAGCTCTGGTAAAGTTTCTGAAACCCTGCCCTCAATGTCGTAAGTGCCAGGTGGGGATAACAGAGGTGTTTTGCAGAACGATTCAGTGGGGTGGTTAGCTGTGTCTTCTGGTTGCTTTGCTTCCAGCTGGGTGGTATCCAAGCCAGATTTCTAACTTTTATTGAGATTCTTTATGTTTAGTAAACTCTATGCTGCTTAAAATAGCGAGCACGGACTTTCCGGCTTGCAACTAAGAAACCTGATGAATACAACGTGTACTGAACACAATGAATGGATGAACTAGTTTCATTTGGAAAGGCAGTGTGAGGGTCCTCAATATGGAATAAGATTTGGGTGATCTGTTTCAGTGTAATAGGAAGAAAGATGGAGAACATGGCAGCCTTGATATGAGTGGCAAGGGATGCTGAGCAAAGGTTCAGGCCCCAAGAGCCTAAAGAACAAGTTATATACCTGAAATAGGTAAGGTGGCCCAAGTACCAAGTACCAGACCAAACATGGATTGGCATGACTGGTGTGCAGAGAGAGAAGCATTGTTATTTATGAATCATCTATTAAGCATCTAATAGTTCTCTAAGTTCATTGAGGTTCTTTCATAAAAAAAAATCACCTTTTCACTGCTCTAGGAAATAATATTTATATATCTTTTCTATCCAATGCCTTTATTGACAACTTTGCATAAAGAAGAACATGCTTATTAAACTCCCTGTTGATATTAAATTGTGTGTTACTGAACTCACTTTTGGTTTTAAGTAACAGAAAATGTAATTCACACTGGTTTCAATCATGAGGGAAATTTATTGGCTCATGGAATTGAACAGGAGGGGCCCCAGGTTAGAAATGACTCCAAAGGTTAGTGCTACCAACAAGGATGTAGTTTTGCCCATAACTCTCTTCTGCTTTCGTGTGGCAGAAGTCAGCTCCTCCTCACAGCCACAGGATGGCTTCCAAGTGCCCTGATGTTATATACTTCCTTATTCATAACTTAGGGGAGACAGAACATTGCTTCCCTAATCAATAAACAAAATTCCTGATCTTCTCTAAGGACCAGCCTGGGTCCTGACCCACCCTTGAATCAATCAGTGTAGCCAGGAGAAAGAATCATAATGAACCCAGCCCACTAGAACAGACACAAATCTGCAGAGTGACACAGAAAGGGCAGGCATTCAGGAAAAAGGCAGAGGAAGATGATTCTTGAGTCTAAGGGGGCAGGAACCCAATAATCTTCTCAAGGGCACAGGGATAGGGTGTAGTCATACAGCCTGGCTTTCTTTAAAAAAAAAAAAAAAAGCTATTTACTTCCATTTGGGGTTTCTTATATAAACACAATGTCAAATGCTCCTGAAAGCATTCTTAAGGTGATAAAGAGTGGAAACTCACATTATACTTAATAACATTTCTAAGGACCTAGAAGCTGGGTCTGGAATCAATAATGACTATTATAATCACTAGCTTACTATTTAATGAATTAAAGCAATTTTCTTTTAAAGATCTCAGAAGGGCATGGAAAATTATCCTCTGAAAACTGACAAGGATTCAGAACGGTCTGACTACCACTGGCACTGTCAGTGTTTCTCCTGAACATAACATATGCGCCAGGAGCCAAATGGGAATTGAAACTCTGAAAAAGTCCACTTCTGTTGCATAACTGGCTGAAAGCAGCCAGATTCCGATTTCTAAAGAGGTGGAGAGCAAACATTCTCCATTCCTGGTGGTTTCTCACTTGATGTTTGGGCTGACGGAGGCCACGGGTCACACCAGGGGCACTTGGTGAGGTTTACAGTGAGCACAAGCATGCATGGCGCCTGTGCTTTTCCTCACACAAACTCAATTTCCAGGGTGAAGACGTACCCTGCTATTGTGGCTGAAAATGTTTTTTGAGGACAATTTTTGGAAAAAAGTACTGCATACACAAGAAAACTCCAAAACCAATGATACTCTGGTTAACAGAAATTTACTTACTTCTAACCCTAATAAGGTACCTTGGACTCAGGCAGGCTGGACCCTCCCAGCAGGTGTGGGGCTTCCCAGCTCTGGCCAGGAGGGCAAATCTCATTCTGCATAAAATTCCTAAACCATGCAGGCTAATTAATGCAAGGCAGGTTAGCAAGCTATGTCCTAGTTCATCTCTTTTACATTGAAACTGAGAAAGAGAAGGTATAATTATCAACACTAAAATGGATTTCTAGTAGAGGTTTTCTCTTCCTGTGTTTGCTGGTGACATGGTAGCACTGCCTCTTTCCCCGCTGCCTAAGGTAATTCACAGCACCCAGGGGCCACTCAGTCACAATCTAGTGAGTGAAGGAATGAATGAAGCTAGTTACACTAAATTGTGTTATACTTCCAGTCTCTGTGGCCACATAGTAAAGTACTATACCCAGATAATTTGATTATAAAAGTCCTTGAATTATGTTATTTCATTATCTTCCCACTCTTTTCATTATTCTTCTTACCTTGTAGTCCCTGTCTCTCTCTCAGTATCTCTAAATGGATTCCAAAATCCCTTCTCTACCCATCTACCTGCTCTCCAGCAGCTCCCCTTAAATGAACTCAACCCCCATATCAATTTTTTAAAAAATAAATGACAGTGGAATGTATTACATTTCTTATTACACAAATATATCACAATTTTTCATATCTCTGTTTGCATATAAGTATGTTGACACCCAATTCATGTCTTCATACATGTACTTTGGAAAATGATGTCCATTACTTCCCACCATCCTTGCTAATCCCCTGCCCCCTCCCTTTCCCTCCCACCCCTCTGTCCTGTCTAGAGTTCATCTTCCTCCCATGTTCCCCCTCCCTACCCCACTATGAGTCAGTCTCCTTATATCAGAGAAAACATTCAGCATTGTTTTTTTTGGGATTGGCTAACTTCACTTAGCATTATCTTCTCCAATACCATCCATTTACTTGCAAATGCCATGATTTTATTCTCTTTTATTGCTGAGTAAAATTCCATTGTGTATATACATTTTTAATCCATTCATCCACTGAAGGGCATCTAGGTTGGCTCCATAGTCTAGGTATTGTGGACTGTGCTGCTATAAACATTGATGTGGCTGTGTCCCTGTAGTATGTTGAGGGCGATCTGGCTGCGACATCTGTCACTCCATTGATGGCCAGGGTTGATTTGGCTGATCTGGTTGGCTAGGCCGGTGTCCCCTTCCTCCCTCACTGCTCCATGTGCGTCCCTCCAGAAGCTGCATGCTCAGTCGAAGAGGACGACCCTCCCCGATAGAGGAGGACCATTTTTGCGGTCAGGGGTGTATGAGTAGCTGCACTCCTCTGCTAGAACCTCCAAACAAGCTCTCAATGCCCCATATCCATTTTTACACACACTGCAGTTTCCCACATTGACACCTTCCCATCTTTTCCTCTTGAGCTTGTGTTAATTTTTTCTCCTCATTCCCTGACCTTATCTTGAGCCTCCTTCTTGCCCACAAAGCCACTTGGATATGAGGGTGAATAGTTAACAGATGAGAAGAAGCAGTCACAATGAAACAGATAAATTATACATAAGAGCCACAGTCAATGACACATGGGTGAAATTGGGACCCAGAATGACCCAATGCCCCCAGGGGGCTGGAGAAAGGAGCTGAGAGGCTCCAGTTCCCACTGCCTGACCTGCTCTAGGCCCTTGCCTCGCCTGGCTCACCCCTATTCCTCCCTCAAGCCTCGGCTTAGAGTCAGCCACCAGCGAAGCATCCTGAACCCTCACCTCCTCAGTCTGAGTCAGGTCCCCATATGAGCTCTGCTCACTCCTTCTCCTTCCTCTCCACAGCTCTCACCCCACCACAGTCACAGACTTCGTGCTTGCTTGCTTCAAGTTGTCCTCCTACCTCAAACCATGAGACCCTGGGGCAAGGACCACTCTCATTTTGTCTGTCACCGTGTTCCAGTGCTTAGCACTTTATAGGTCCTTACACATATCTGTTAGATAGCTTAATTATTGATACAGAAAATCAAATGTCATGTAGCCACCAAGACCACTCACATGAGGCTGATATTACGAGGATTTGAAGAGAGGAAATGTGAGGATAGGAGCAGTTTTAGTGACAGGCAGCTTGCAAAGCCTGTGCAGAACAAAGGAAGAAAAGGGGGTAGACATTTATTTCTCTTGAGTGATTACAATTGGAAGAAAGTTCGATTTAACTGATGAATTTTATGTTATATGAACAGATGGACATAATGGGAATTATAACAGACTATGCTGCCATCTGAAATAAGTAGATACATTTCTTTGAAATAAAGCACTTTGAATACAGTTCATTACGTTTTCATATCATTGTTCTGTAAGTGTCCTATTAAGTAAAAAGCTCTGTTAAGCATAAGCAGTGTGGAATATTTAGCAAGAAAGAGCTAAGGACTGCTGACTCTTGTCAAAATTCTAAAATGATTGGGATGCCATGCAGATCCGAATCTCTGGGTGCTGCATTACTGGGATGCACTGGGTCAGAAGCTACCATGTGCATCCTGTTCACACAGTCTCCCTTCGGTTTCTCTCAACCAGCTTTCGCAGACACAACCATTATAAAGCATTTACTATCAGGACAGCATCAGTCTCAAAAGGGTTCATTAGGCCGTTAAAAAAAAAAAAAAAAGTTTGTTCTTTGTTTTCCCCTCAAGTCTTTTAGCCTTAACATTCATTAACAAGTCCTCCTGCCTCATCAATATCCTCTGTACTTCTCCATTCCAGTTTTTAATCATGTTTCTTTTCTAGAATCTGAAAACAGTTGCCATCCTTAACATTCAATTCACACTGCTCGTGCTCACAAAGTGAAAGGAACTTGAGAAATCATCTAATCCAATCCACTCATGTTGGAGATAAAGACTTTTTTTTGGAAGATATGTTTAGTTAAAATCAGATAAGCTTTCTGTACCAAACTCAAAAATTAAAATCAGAGCACCTACTGGGCTGGATCGTAGTCAACTTGGATTAGAGGTAGGGAGGGAAATTGAGCCTAAGGGGACAAAATTGCTGACTAGATGAAGTCACCGGAAGCTGGAAAAATATTGGCCACCTCCAAGTTATAGCCAATCTACAAGCCAGAAGGATTAGTCAACAGGAGGCTATAGTCACACTCACTACTAATTTTGCAATAAAGACAATAAGGCAATGAGACAGTAAGTGGAAAAAGGCATTGGCTGTATAGTCAAGTAAATCTCAGTTCAAATCCTCAGCCACCCAGTAACTGGGTAACTTTGGGAAGGCCTTGGGAGGACTTGGATTTTTAAAACCCAACACCTACAACATGGGGCTGTTGTAAGGTTTAAATGAAATGGCATATACAAAATGCTAGTAGATACACCTGTGTTTCCTACAGCATTGTTTACAACAGTTAAAGGTAGAAACAACCATCAAGACCTTCAAAGGATGAGTGGATGAACCAAGTGAATAAGTGCATATTATTCAATCTTGAAAAGGAATAAAATTCCAAAACATGCTACAATGCGGATGAACTTCTAAAATATCATGCTAAGTGAAATAAGCCAGACATAAAAGGACAAATATTCAAATAGTCACTTATATGAGGCACCTGGAATAAGCAAGATAACAGGTACAGAAGGTGGTATAGAGGCTACGGGGATAGGAGGGGATGGGAGCTATTGTTTAATGGGCACAGAGTTTCTGCTTGGGATTATGAAATGGATCTAGAAATTGATGGCGGTGATATTGCAGAACATGGTGAAAATACTTGTCACTGAACTGTTCACTTAAAAAGACGAAAATGGCAAACTGTTTATTAGGTCTACTTAACAGAGAGTAGAATGGCAGGTGCAAATGAAGTGCGAGGACGTTGCTGTGGTGAGTCCCACTCTTGCTGCCTTACCTGCTCCAAGTAGTGCAGTGACAAGTTGATATACTTGGCCTCGGTCAGAAGCTGGCCCCCTACGCCACTCTTGGCAACTCGTTCAGAGCCAGCCAGGTCAACCAGGTGGAGCTTGGCGTGCCGGACAGTTGCAGAGCCTGGCTCCTTGCTTGACAAGTGAATGGTGAAGATGCAGTGGGAACGGGTCGAGGCTTGGTTCATGGGAGTCTATGAAAGAAGAAATCGCAAAACAAAAATAATTAGAACTGAGCACTTTGGAAGAGTGTCAGAAGATTTAAATGTGTATTTCTAAAGATATAGCATTTCCCATGGAGCCAACACTGTCAAATGGAACAAAAACACTTGTAACTGAGACCTATAAAGTACGTGCTTTTCAATGTTATTACCGCCGATGACTGAAAACCAATGTGGATGGGTTAATTCAGAGAGTGACGTAAAGAAACGTTCTAGTGAGGTGAAGACCCAATCCTCTCACCAGGCTGACAACTTTATTTCATCACCAAGCTATAATCCATGCCTATCCTTGGCCATCCATATTGAAAATGGCTATTTTAACCTCACAGGAAGGAGAAGAGAGTGTGCGTATCAAGAGAACAGTTTTCCCAATGGTAAACACGATTCACAGACAAGGATGCCTAGGTCACTGCTACTGCTCAACACTGAGCCACAGGCTCTAACCAGCATCATAAAAAAGAGACCGACATAGGGGCAGAATAATAGGAAAAGAATGCATTACAATGTCATTGTGTATAGAATATTTACAGTCAACCTAGAAAACTCAAGAGCTTCTACAAAAAAAAAAAACTGATAAGAACCAAAAAGTTTATCAGTATTGCTAGATACAAAATCAATTAAATTCTAACAGCCCAACAAGAATTAGGAAATCAAATATTATTCAGAATGGCAACAAAGACAAGGAGACAACAAGGGATTACTTATGTAAGATATATGATCTATAGGGAACTGATGAAATAGTATTTAAGAACATAAAAAGAAAACCTGAAATATACCAATTCTTAGATGAAAAAACTAAGAATCTACATATAAAAGTTTGTATGTTAACCTATATATATAATGCAATTGAAATAAGAATATTTCCAGTTTTTTCCCCCAGAATAAAACAAAGTGGTTCTAAAAATCAAGTAGGAGAAAATCTTCATATAAAAAGAAAATTAATTCTGTGAAAGAAGCAGGGTGGAGGGGTGCTTGTCCTTTCCTATGTCCAGGTGTACCACAAAGCCACGGTCATTAGAGGAGCACTGAAGCAGGAGCAGACAACTAGGTCTATGGAACATGCTGTGCTCAGTGAGCAACTCCAGGTAGGACACAGGGGACATCACACTGCAGAGGAAAAATAACAGACTAATTAATTAGTGGTGCTAGAATACCTGGCACTCCAGGTAGGAAAAGGTAAATTTAGGTTAACTTTTTACACTATATACACAGATTCAAAAATAGAATAAAGCCTTATGTGTAGTAGCATCTGCCTGTTACAGAAAACATCCAGATTTTGGTTTTTTGGGATTGCACTTAGCATGATATTCTCCAGCTCTATCCATTTACTGTCAAATGCCATCATTTCATTCTTCTTTAAGGCTGAGTAATATTCCTTTGTGTATATGTACCACATTTTCTTTATCCATTCTTCTGTTGAAGGGCACCTAGGTTGGTTCCATAGCTTTGCTATTGTGAATTGAGCTGCTAGAAACAGTGATGCGGATGCATCACTGAAATACGCTGATTTTAGGTCCTTTGGATATTAACTGAGAAGTGAGATAGCTGGGTCAAATGGTGCCTTAAGTGTAAAATAACACAATATTAACAAGAACACAAGAAAATATGGAAGTATATTGTAATCAGTCCAGGGTAGTAATGGATAGCTTTCAGTTAACATAAAAAATAGAAAAATAAATTGACTCAAATATGATTTAAATATTTGGCAAAATATCCCCAAATTTAAAGACTTATGTAAGTGGGTGAAGATATTTGCAATATGTAAGTCTGATTAAAGATTAAGATTTGAAATACACAACTCATTACTCAAGAAGAAGACAACTCAGAAAAAAAGGCAAAAGCTAGAATAGGGATCCTATAAAGAAGGAATCTAAAAATGGTTAATGTATATTTGAAAAAAATGCTCCAATTTATAAATTTTGAGAACTATCTAACTTTGAAAAATAAGAATAAATGATTTCACACCCACGAGAATGCAAAAATTAAAAAGATAAAGTCTAGCACAACAAGTGCTGCTGAGGACCTAAGGAGATGGGAATTTTTATATACTGCTGTTGGAAACGTAACTTAAGAACTTTAATAAGAGCAATTTGACAGTATGTGGCAACATTGTTAATGCATTAAACTCACAACCTACCAAGAAACTACTAGGTGTATCTCCTAGAGAGAATTCTTGGGTAGGTATATCAGGAGACACAGGTATAAGGACATTCACTGCAACATTATTTGGGAAATTGGTGCAAAATGTACAACTTAAATGAACGTCTGCAGCAGAAGAGATTAATAGGCTGGGATAATTCAAAATACAGAGAAGTTAAAATGAAATAACCTTCAGAAATATTGACATGGATAGGTTTCTGAAGAAATTCCTCGTGCTGAAGAAAAACAGCAAATTAAAGAATGATGTGAACCCTGTGATAGTTTATGTAATCATACAAGTGGGACTACCTATTGTTCACAGGAGTATAACTTAAGTCACTAAAAGGATAACAATGTGGACCAGAAGGATAGGGCAAATTGATGATGGTGGTGGCCTTTTTGAGGTTAGAAGTAGAAGACCAACAAGGACACATCAGCTTTCTCTGCGACATGCTATTTCGTTTATTCAAAAATTATTAGAAGAAAATTTTCGGTTGTGAAAACTAAAATATGCTGGTCTTATTGTTCTCTGTACTTTTTTAGATTATAAATTTTCTACAAGAAAGAAAATGAGCTGAGTCAAGATGTTCGTTAGCAGTACCACCTTGTCAAATCATAAAAAAACTAGGACTATTCCAAATGAATATTCATGAGAGTAAATATGTTCAGATTCCCACCTTTGCAAAATGGGACTTAACCAAAGAATTTTGGTATGAATGCACATGTATGCAGATAGGGAAACATATCTGGATGCTATTTCAACCAGAAATTCTTTCGTAAAAATAACTTCTTGATCTACACCATGGTTGATTTACACCAACTAGCAAAATATACAGATGGCATAGTTTTGGTGATGATGATGTAGCTAGTGAGTTAAATAGGCTGAAAATTTGACCCATTACTTGTTGCCACAATAACTATACACAAACCTAGCCAGTGTGTGATTTTGCATGCTAAAGTGGATCAGCAAATAACTGTGCATGTAAAACCGCAAATTCAAATTTAGAACCTAAGTTGAGGTGTTCTGGAAGTGACTGTAAGTTATTTGCAGAACTTAAACATGGGTTTCGTTTCACTGTTATATTCGCACAACAATAAATCCTACAGTACTGTAACTAAAGTCAAATTAACATCGATATAAACAAATAACACAGACTATTCTCAACAGCTGTCTTCGGCTTCGAAACTGATATGGGGAAAGTGCAATCAAATGTGGACCATTAATAAACATTGGAGCGCGTGCCCATTTATTTCAAAGGAATATGATATTTACGAAAATGAAATTACATTTCTGGAGTCTATAATTAAAGTGCAGTAATATGCTGTAGAAGTCCATGCCTACAGTTTTGTAATGTCTCATAAATATTTTCTGCATGAAGTAGTGGTTGGTGTCCTTTTAGATAAAATTTTCTTAAACCTCAGAAAACATTCTTTATGTGGAGCTGTTTAAGTGTGATTGGATGTGCTGGTATCTGCTCTGCGTTTAGTTAAGGACGTCTTTGTGTCTTGTGGGCATGCCCATTTGCTTGTCCTTTTAAAGGTAAAACCGTATTAAAATGTTTCTGAAATTGCCGGAGAACAGATGGCACCATTTAGGCAGATTCATTCAAATCTAAGCGCACGTTTTAAACAAATGTGTTTCTGGCATTAGACTGTGCCTTTGGAAAAACTCTAAGGATGATTAATCATCTGTACGCAGAGGGCTTTCACATTTCCTATCAGTCTATGTACAGAGCTGTACTAGGCAAAGCGGAGACAAGAAGGAAAATAAGACATGGACCTCGCCCTCAGGGAACTTGTAATCTAGTCAGGAATCAGAGCCAAATGTGTGAAATGAGAGTGAATGTGAAATGAGGGAGAGGCAAAAATGTGTGGTCAAGAAAACGATCTGTTCCCAGCACTGAGTGTCCTGATCCCCTAGTCCTATCTGAGAACCTGCCCATTCCTCTTCCTGGAAGCTCCTTTTCCTCTGCCCACTGCCTGGTTTCTAAAGCCAAGGGCTCTCCAGCTTCTTCTCCCTCCCTAACCACCCTGTCTCCTTTTCCTTCACAGCACCCTCTTTCCTTCAGCTGTGGCCTTGAGATTTCTTCCCCATGGGAACACACCTTTGACAGCCTCATCCTCATTGGATAGGCTCTAGAGTGTAATAAAAAAATCACAAATCAAAAACCTTAAGAATTTGGCATCGATGAACTGGTTTCAAGTCCTGGTTCTGACATTTGCTAGAGTTAAAAGCTTCAACAAATTTGCATGAGGTAATTTTGGTTTTCATCTCTCTGAAATGCCATAATAAGACATGCTTTGCTGCAAAGAATTATATTACATACCAGTTGAGTTGCTAAATGTTGAAGTGCTCTGTGAACTGTAAAAAGGATCACATAACTTCCATCACTGTTGATCTTTACTCTGTTCTGGTGCCTCCCCATTCATATTTCCTACCCTCAGGTTCTCTGCACACCAGCTTAACTAACAGCTGTCACTAAATCGCCCTGCTTGTATCTTGAACATAATGCTCCCCCAAAAAACCACGTCAACTTTCCCTCCCAGTGGCCCATGGGTGGATGTCCAATCCATCCTACTTCTCTCAGACTCCACTTCCTCCCATCTTCTTCATTAATCAATTACCCCTTACCTCTCACCTGGGCTGCTGCATTCTCTTCTCATTAGTCTCTCCATATTTTCTTTGTCCCTCCGACTGTTCTCTATCTTCAAGAGTAATGTTTTTAAAAGGAATATTTAATTATGTCAATCTTGTCCAAATCCCTGAGTTAAAAGAGTATGCTTCCTAACACCAAATATCTCTATTTCTTTCAACTATGTCTTATACAACTGTT